GACTGGTCCATACCTCATCTGTGAAATCATGAATCCTATGAGGACTAGTGTCCTCATGGTGAATGAGCATATTCTATTCTGAACTGTTCCCACCACAGGTACAGGACATCTGTGTGATCAGCCAAGATGTAATATGGCAAGAGCCATGTGACTTCTCACGTGGTGGTAACCATGTGACTAGGACCCCTAATGCAGCTAGGTCCTTCAAGGACCTACATAGCCCCAAATGTTTCTGTGGCACAGGCATTCATTCATATATCTTGCTCTCTGCCCCCTCAACCCCTCCCCATTTCTTTCTTCTTTTCACCTTCCTGGATGCCTGCCAGGATCATGGAAACTAAAGACCCTGATAGGTTTCCCACATGGTACTGTGCTTCCCTAGCATCCTAGCAGGATAATTTTCTCAAAGACCTAACACTATCCTGATGCTTCCTGGGTGGGAAAAGAGGGATATAAGGCAAATGTTGACTCTATTCCCAGCAGGGCTCATCTTTAAATTCTGCTCACTCCTGATGTCCCCAAGCTTACTTCCTTTTTCTGCTCCCTCTAAAGAGAAAATCTTGTGGAGTCAGAATTTTGAAGTCTAGGATTTCATCTCACTAGGATAGAGAGTAAGAGCAGATAGGAATAAGAACAAGTAAAAGAGTAAGAATGAGATAGGTACCGTCTCTGTCCAAAAACTAAATAAATGTCTAACCCCATAGCTGCAAAGTATAACGTGAAGCAGGCTGGGACTAAGTGTCCTTTCTCCTCTCAGGACTCCGGTGCAATTCACATTTGTAGCACTATAGTAATGTTCTCAGCTCCTCTCTGTTCATTTACTGTTGATAGTCCTGTCCTGTTGATAGTGGGTATGAAGACAATTCCTCAGGCAGAAAGAAATTCCCTTGAGAATTATATCCAAGGTGCGGGGAAACTTTGTCTGCTTATACTTTTTTACCTCTAATGGCAATTTAAGGCAAAGAAAACCAAAGCCTTTTATATAGGCAAGTTTCTTCTCTGAACCTACTAACCTACTAGCTCAGTTTTCCTTCCTTCCTTCCTTCCTTCCTTCCTTCCTTCCTTCCTTCCTTCCTTCCTTCCTTCCTTCCTTCCTTCCTCAAGAGTCCTTATTCTGCAAAGGTAAAAAAAGAAACACTTCAGAGTTGCTCACCACAGGAACTTGCATTCATCATTTATGACTTAATTCTGAGAGAGACTATACAGGTAGTTGGCTTAAACTCTGGCAGGTTAATGTTAACTCTCAAAGGCATTTGGGACACAAATCAGTGTCCCTGGTCCTTTGGGGGCTATACTCAGACACATTTAAAAGTGATTGGTGGAGGTGTCAGAGGATTGAGGTTATTTTGAGTAGGCAAGGGGACACTCCTTTTTTTTTTTTTTTCACTCCAGAGGGTCTAAAACTTCTCTGGGTCTACTTAGGACCACCACAGAAAATTTGCCTTCAGTTTCCCTGACTACACTTTCTTTGACGCAGCCTTGAGAATTAAAGTAAGGTTAGACCTGGGCATCTAAAAAGAGAGAGGGGGCTAATATTTTACAGTAATACCACCTGGCCCCATTACAGGATCAGCAAACAAAAAATAGATAAAATAATAGATAAAAACTGACACTATCATTTGCATAGCTGGACCCATTTTGCTGGGATCAAGGAAAATGGTCTAAAGTATCTACGTACAGGCAGACTTCATGGCTGTCAGGATAGGAGACAAGAGAAAGAAAGGAAGAAAGGAAAAAGGGAGGGAGGGAGGGAAGGAGGGAGGAAGGCGGGGAGGAGGAAGGAAACCCAATGTCCCTGCAATGCTGCAAGGTACTGTTGTCAGTTTCCCCAAGGTTATATATATGGTGCCCCGGGATGCCCACAGGCAGGGTTAAGCTCGGTGTTCACTGTAGTATGCACATTGCACTGTCTGCTTTAACTGTTTCATGCTTCCTTAATAATTAATGAAACTGACCATTAATGGAGACTGCTCTATTCTCCTCTACTTTCTCCTGCACCCCATGAGGTTGACAGTAACCGCTTCCCCCGGGTCCTTTTTCTAATCATACACTTTTTCCTCTGACCTTGACCAAGGTTGCTCCCCCTTCCCCAGTAGGACTCTGCTTCTTGAAGCCCTGGGCATCAGAGGCTGAGGACTCTGGGAGCAGGGACCCATAGCCACCTTCTCAAGACACCATTTTCTGCTGAGGTAACTTTCCTTAGCCCTGGAGGCCCTGCAGCCTCCTGGGATGGTGGCCCCTCCCTTCCAGCTGGCTCCGACCTTCTCTCCTCCTCAGCTTCTCAGCTCTGTTTCCATTGATTTTCTCCCCTGGTAATTTTCACAGGCAGACTCTCAAGCATGTGGTTCCTGCATCCTGTTCTACAACAGGCTTCTGGAGTCCCTGTGTGATGCCTTGAGGGTAGGGTCACATCACATTCCTCAGTTCCCTAACTTCTCTGCCTTCCCTTCCCTTCCACACCTTTCCAAAAGAGTTCTCACCCTTCTCATTATCACAAACCAAAGGACACATTGGCAGATGCCCCTTTCGCCTATTTCTATTCCCTGAGGAATGGGTCCAAAGGGATAGGAAGCACAGGGCAGTGAACAGAGGGGCATAGCCTTGATCCCTTCTTGCCTCCACCACCGATCCAGTAGGATTCAGCGGTTCTCAATCTGAGGGCCACAATCCCTTTGTGGGTAGAAAGACCCTTTCACAGAGGTCACCTAAGAAAACAGAAATATCTACGTTATGATTCATAATAGTAACAAAATTGCACTTATGAAATAGCAGCAAAAATAATTTTACGGTTGAGAATCACCACAACATGGGGTACTGTACTAAAGGGTTACAGCATTAAGAGGGTTGAAACCACAGCATTAGGAGGACTTGGGGCTTCCATTGTCTCGTCGAAATAGGAATAAGAACGATCTCTCCCGTATGGTTAGGTAAACTCGAAGTAAACCCAAACATATGAAACACCCAGTGGAAGCCTCCTGGGCGGTGTTCAGTGAGTACCTAGTAATATACAAGCTCCTGACATACTTACCCCCTAGCAACACACAGCAGAACTGGTTGAGTTGGAAGTCACAATGTGTGACCCTGTTGTTGGTCATCAGAGTTGGACAATGGCCTCTATCTAGGATCCTACCTCCATTACACTTTAGAACCTAGCCATTACTTCATAGAGAGTGACCAACCAAATGCAGACAGTAAAGCGACTGGACTGCTGGGACAGGGAGGAGCCTGCCCGCCTGTCTTGTCATGATCACATGATACTCCTAAGTCCTCCCAGAGGTACAAGCTGTCTTGCTCTTGAAGACCTTCCTGGCCCTGTAAAAGTGATCATTCTTCCTGTCTCTAGGGCTTCCATGAATATGTCTGGCTGTTGAACTCTTGGTGTTCCCTGTGTCTATCTCTGCCTAAATCTTTGACTGTGCCTCTGGCCTGAGCCCTTCTTTGGGTCAGGCCAGTCTCTTCCTGTCTCCAGTGCTGGCGCTGGACCTCGCATTTATGAAGGATGGCTGAGAAGTGCCACTGCTCCCAGACAAAGGGAACGTTCCGATACATGAAAGCAGGAAGGGGCACTATCCCTGGGAAGCAGGGGCCTTGTCCTTAGGTTGTAACAGAGCTGAAGGCCTCGCTGACTAAGAAACTTGCAGAGGGGTCTGCACATCTTACATAGTGTCCCAGTAAGGGCATTTAAAAGAATCAATATGTGTGCTACACATAAGTAAGGTTTATGCCTGGAGTACTGTTGGCTCGGAAGGGAACAAACCTGGGGTCTTGGCATATTGTAGCCAAGACCTTGGGTTTTAAGGCAGAAGCATTACTGTCATTGGTGGAAGTGGAGAGAGGTGGGGACAGCTCATAACTACACAGTATGATGGGCTACCGAGGAGCACTTTGCTGTAAGACTGACAGGTGAGCCACTTAAATGGAAGCTTTTAACTTGACAAGTGAAATCAGGAGGTTTAGGCTTGGCTTCCTGCTCACTTGAGGGTGATGGGGCTGCATAGAAAATCTCTGGGTGCCTCTCTCTTGGATGTCACCCAGTGACTGTACCACAAGGACTCTGACAGGAGTGTGACCCTGACCCTGGCAGAGATTCTGGCATTTATCAAATGCACAAAGAGCTACTGGCAGGAGTGTCTGAGACTGAGCCAGAAGACACAGCCATAGCCACGACACCCTTTATGGCCTGAGCCTTTCTCACAGAGCTAGGAAACATTCACATGAGCTAGAAACCATTAGAGTGACAGGTAACATTAAGGATCTAGAATCAACCTAGGAGACAAACCTCTCTCTCTCTCTCTCTCTCTTTCTCTCTCTCTCTCTCTCTCTCTCTCTGTTTACAAGTTAGATTAATGGAGTTGGGAAGACTTACCCTAACTAGGGGCATCACTATTCCATGGTCTAGGAAAACACAAATAAATACAAAGGAAAAAGTAAGCTGAGCACCAGTGCTCACCTCCTGCTTCCTGACTGTAGCTACCATGTGACCCTTTCCCTGTTATGATGGACTGACCCTCTGTGAGCCAAAACAAATCCTTCTCTCCTGAAGTTACCTTTGTCTGGTATTTTGTCACAAAATGAGAAAAAAACAGCAAATATACCCCTCAATATTCAAAAGGGGAACTTTCTGGTTTCACAGACACAACTGTCCATCCCTGGCTTCTCTGGGTTTCTGAATGGAGAATGGAACAATCTTTCACTTCTGGGATTCTAAAGTCTCTGCATTTGGGTTAAACTTGCAATTGGGTCCCATCACAATGCAAGAATGAGGGCTCAGGCGTTGAAATAGCACTGTTGAACCGCAAGGTCAAGGTGCATGCTTCCGTGACTTAGGACACCTGAGGCCCTCTTGATTGTAGCCACATAGGAGAAGAGCTAAGATACTTTACAGCCCTGCCCCATATCCTGAGAGTTTGGGGCCCTAACTTATGTTCTGGAAGTCTTGGGGCTCAGCCCTGGACACATGATGCTCAGAACAGGAATTCTTTTCATTGTTTCCTACCTACCGAACCCTGGAGTCCTGTTGGCAAGACTAGGGTACGCATTTCCGCTTGGCGAGGAGGCAGCTGGGCTGGAGAGAGGACTGTAGGAAGAAGGGTCAGCCGGGTAGGGGTGGCTTGATCCAATCCCGAAGGCGGACGACTGTGTCTTGCTGGGCTACGGTAGGATTTGCTATGGTCAGGACAGAAAGAGGCAGGGCCCACCAGCTTCCCACTGAGCTCCACCCTTGAGGTCCCTTCAGGAGCAGCAGGCCCTGCGTCCCTCACTAGCCTGGGATGAGGCTGGTGTGGGGCGGGGGTAGAGTCCTGGCCCTGGACAATTGGGGTGGAACTGGTTAAAGTTATTCTGAGAACTCCAATGGCCTGGATTTTCTACGTTCAGCTTATGGAGGAGGCCTCTCAGCTGATAAGTCCTTTCCTTCCAGTACCTTCCAGGTAACTAGGAGTGTTGGTTGCATGTTTAGGTATTTACAGGCCCTTTTTGGCATAGTAGTTACGAGTTGCTCTTGCTGGAGAAGCTTTGGGTGCCCAACCTCCTCTTGCTCCCTTTCCCAAGGGGAGGTTGTAAGAAGAAAAGGGTGCCAATCAGACTTGGTGTAAATATTGGACACAGCTCTACAAGCGCCCTGTGGATGACAAGGACTCTTGGCTGTTCTAGGTGGGAGCACTGACTACCCTCAGAGCTGGGAACCTAAACAGCACATGGTAGGTGTTCTGCTACTCTGGGCATCCAGGGCCATGTCTCACGGTCACTCATACCTGCCCTGGGAAGGGTGGACGGCTGCCTGTCCATGCCACTTGGCCCTGGTTCAGCTGCCGGGAGATCTGAGATATGTTCTGGCCCGTTGAGGAGGAAGACTGAATGTCATTCACTCCAGGCACGTGGACCACGGAGGAGCTAGGAGAAGAAAATACATTTATTCCCAGGGAAAATCCTACTTTCTTAAGGCACTGTGGTAAGATCCCATGTTGGCTTGTCTTCCTGCCCTTCTCCTCCTTGTATGCTGCCCAGAGGTCCTTGCTGTTTTCTATTCTCAGCCTATCCCCCACCCCCGCCCCCCACCGGTCTGGCAGCTTTTTGCATTTGCCCGCCACTGCCTTTGCCTGAACAACCGCAGCTCTCTATAAAACATTTCATTCCAAGGAGAGACATGAGCCTCAGAATACAAATCAGACTCCAGGCTACCTGCTCTTTGTGCTCTAGTTAATTTGTCCCTTTGGGGCACTGAGAAAGCTTACAGACTCTGGATGTAGGCTGCAGGCTGTCCGTCTCAACACTGAGACAAACCTGAGAATGGCAGGCGGCTGCGTGTGGCTGCTGGTTTCCCTCTTCCGCCTTCAGACGGATTAACATGGTGTGCCTTTATCTGGCACACGTGGTATGTGTCATGATGGGCAGCTCGCTGCATACCTGGTGAGGATGTTCTGACACTCTACTGCCAGGCCCTTCTTTCAGGAGCTTTTTGGGCTATGTGCAGTGTATGCTCATCCAAGCTGGAAAAGGCTGGAGGGAGCCCTGTGCTTGCTATCTCCCTGGGTCTGTGCTGGGATGGGGGGTGGGGGAGGAGGCAGGAGTATGAATGCATTGAGTGAGGTGGGCTCTGTCTGATTTTACTTTTTTGACAGAGGTAGATTTTTGGGTGGATTTGGAAGGAAAGAGAGTTACAGACCACAATTTCACTAATTGTATTCTAACCTTTTTCTATCTTCTCTAACCCCTTGCAGACTGTAAAGGAAATTCTGTTGTTTAAGCATCATGTCTGTCTTTCTAAATGAGTTTACTTAGCACACTAGCTTCTCTCCTTCTTCCCACAGATGGATGTTTCAGTTCAGAGGATATTTTGTTGTTGTTGTTGATTTTTTTCAAGACAGGGCCTCACTCTAGCTCTGGCTTTCCCGGAACTCATTATGTAGACTAGGCTGGCCTTGAACTCACAGAAATCTGCCTGATTCTGCCTCCCAAGTTCTGGGATAGAAAGCATGAGCCAGCATGCCCTGCCAAGGATATTTTCTTTATTTTTCATTTAGTTTCCTTTTAAAAATCATCTATATTAATTGTGCAATGTATAATTAATTCTGACCTTGAATTCATAGTGTTCTTGCTGCCTCAGAGTCCGGAGCACTGGGATTGCGGGTGTCAGCTACCAAGCCTATCTCCACAGTCATGGATTTCACTGTGGCACTATCGTAGGTACCCATTACACACTTCGCTCACACTACTTCTGCATCTCCCTTTCTTTCAGAAGACATTTTCTGGTCACTGTTCCTCATGGTTCATCTTTAACACATGCCTCAGCCTTCACGGCCCTCCTTAGGATGCTGACCAATGAGAGACAGTGTAACTCTGCCTGGGATCTTTGGAACAAAGTGCTGGCCTTTGTGTCCAGCACTCCCTAGGACCACTGAACACACCTGCCAATGATGGAGGAAATCTGTTCTTAGAACAGCAAGGAAAGGAATTCCTATTCCATGTGGCCAATGTAGTTTCTGGGCACTGGATTTGCTTGTCCAACCCTGTTTCCTGCATGGGCCCTGACACACTGTTCAGAGTTGGGCCAAGTGAAATGTAGGGAAAATGCCACCTTGCTGGGCCTGAGATATGTGAAGCTTCTAGGGAGCTGGAAACATTTGTTGTGACACAGGAAGATGCCTTCCCTGAGGACTGATGGCCTGTCCTCTGGCAGTCTTCCTGGGTTCATGCTTTTATTTCCCAGAAGAAACTTGAGCCAGATCTGGCCCTCAGTGGTGATGTCAAGTTTCCTCAGTAAGCTACCGTATGCTTTGATGCTTATATCTAGGCACCCTGCTGTATCCTTGACGGGCCTTAAGGCAGAGGCTCCAATATGACGGACCATCTTTTCTCTTTGCCCTTTGCCACAGCCTCAGCAAACTAGAGAATAGGGCACTTCTGACTACTTTCCCAACTAGCCCCTACTTGAATCTTGGCTATAGACCATCTCTTTCCCCCTTTCCCTGTAGAACTGCAGAGAGGCTGGTATTGCCTGTGTCTGAGAGTCACTGACAACCAGCGCCTCTGAAGGGGCTGATAGAGCAGCGTCAGGAGTCCAGAGTATCTATCCTGGCTCCAACCCACAGTACGCCTGATTCCCGCTCGGCTCACAGAGCCCATGCTGGCACACAGGTCTTTCCTCCCACCACTCCCTTCCCTGGCACCTACCTGAAGGCCTTGCCCGAGTGCCCGGCAGGGAATGGACTTCCTTGGGAGTAGATCTGCTGACTGCCTGATGCTGAGGCTGAGCTCATCATCTTCTTCTCCGCTAGGAAAGCCATAGGAGTTGTATGTGAAGGTCCCTGTTTTTTCCACAGGCATGAGGGGGCACCCCAGAACAGGGCATGGGCATGGGAACCCAGGAACATAGAACCCACATAGAACAGCCTCCCCACCTTCACCTTTGAATGTCCTTTTTTAAACTTTGACTCCCAGGGTGAACCCAGCCACCTGAAGGCAAGCCCTTGAGTGGGGAAGGCACGACTGCATTCAGTCCTCCAGTTTCACAGGGAAGTACACAATAGAAAATGCGCAAAGAGGTGAGCACCCAGGATAACCTCGGCTGCTTGGCCTTGGACCTCTGCCTGGCCTTTTATATTAGAGATGTCACCTGGGATGCTCTTTGAACTCTTCCCTGCCTCAGTTTTTCCACCTCAAAGAAGATGATAATTGCAGTCTCTGTTTCACAGAGCTGTGGCGAGGATTCTGTTGTTAATATAAGTGAAGTGTTTACCGAGGACAGTGCTGGAAAACAACAAACAGCTTACACATTTGCTTTCACTTGTTAAAAATGAGGAAACTGAGGTAGTGGTTGCCCCAGGTCACGGGACAGCAAGAGAGGTTCCAACTTGAATCCCAGTCAAGTGCCCCTTCCCTGACCTGATCAGCAGGTGCTAAGAAGCACCTCAGACTGACTGACCAGGGCAGCTGGGTGGTGTTGCCTGACTTGCCACCAGGGTCTCAGACTGAGCACCTCGTGAGACAGGAAACCCTAAGACCTAGGCTAGAGCGAGTCACCAAGGCCACTGTTCTGCTACAGAAAGGCGAGAAGGCCTCACCTGCAGAGGTTGAGAGGACCGGGCTCAAGTCAGGCAGGCTGTCTAGATCTCAGAGGAAGGTGGTCTTGGTGGCGATATGAGAAGCAGGAATAAAACGTGAATGGATGCAGCCTCTAGACCGCTGAGCGTCAACTGCACCCCTCCCTTGGTCACATGGTGTGTTACCTGTGGCCCTAGAGCAAAACCATGCCTACACGTCTCACTTATATAATCACCCTCAGGACACGGGAGGAAGGGAATCTGGCCCTGTGGTCTGAGAGCCTGCCCCTCTCTCTAGGGTGGCTCTCCTCAGATGGTTTGGATGCATGGCAGTGACTAGGCAGCACGCATGCTCTTTCGCGCCCAGGGCGGGTGTGAGCAGTAACGGGCTGTTGCTGATCAAGCTCTTGGGCCAGGGTCTGGGAGGCCACACAGGAACCGAATATCATACTCCCATTTCTGTTTGGGTCTCTAAATAAAGTCATTGTCGTATTGCAGCTGTAGGACATCCTAAAGGGACAGGAGTTCAGTTTCCAGTCTAATACAAGGCCTTGAGAGTAGGGCATAAAGAGCAAGACCAGAGTGGTGAGGAGACAAGGTTAAAACTTACAGAGTAAAGACGACTCAGGCCACCTTCTTGTCAATAAACACATTTCCTAGAGGCTGGAGGTATAGCTAGTGGTAGAGCTCTTGCTTAGCTTGTCCATTCTCCAGCACCACACAAAAACAAGTGATAGACAAATCAACTACCACTACAAAAAGCATGACTTTGTGCAAGTAATTTTTTCTCATGTGATTTGCTGGAAAGTAATAAATGTGCCGCTTACATGGTTATATATGCATGTGTGTACATGCAATCATATAGATGTATATTAATGTATGTATATTATTTAGTCTTCTAAATTTTTTCCTGTTTTTTTTTTATTTTTTAATTTTCATCTACCTGATTTGTTAAGAATGAAAGAAGGCATCCTGACTTCCACTTACTTTGCTTTTATCCGTTTCTTCCTGTATTGTGATTATTTTGGCTTTTCTGTGTTTCAGAGTCCATGAGATTTACAGTGAGTTCGGTTCTGTCCTTTCTGACCATTGTCATGTCTTTCTCGGGTGACGCTGCCACTCTCCTTCCATGCTTGGGTGTGACAAGCATTTTCAACACTCACGGAGGGCTTAATAGCTCATCTCCTTTTTTTTTTTTTATTATGTTGAATTTTGACAGCATGCTAACTGGGGATTATCAATCTGCAGTTCTTGAATATCCTGTCAACTTATCAGTCTCGATATTCATGTTTTGTTTTGTTTTGTTTTTTTGCCACTTTTTATTTTTTTTGTTGATTTTCTAAGTTTCAGAGTCAAAACCATCCTCTTTTCCTATAAATTGTTTTCTTAGGTATTTTGTTGCAATGATGAAGCCTGACCAGTGACTTAAGGCATTGTGTAATAGATTAGATGTCGTTTGCTCTGACCCTTTACATTTTAAGCATGAGATGCCGTGGCCTGAGGTTGGGTGTCACAGGTGATCCGGAAGTAAGAGGAAGGACAAAAATACAAGGAATCTGTCCTGACTCCTGTACAGCGTGCTTTTTATGCCTTGTGGCAGTGACACAAACGTCACCTTACCTGCCCTTCTCTCTAGGGTGGCTATCTCCAGGTGGTCTGAAAGCAACTGTACATCCACAACTTCACAGCCTAGCGCTGTCTGCACACTTACATGCACTGATTCCTGCAAACATCTCGGCAAAACGAGGGTCTCTCTCTTGGGAGAAGATTGCATCTGCCTTATCCACAGACTTCCCTGCCTCGTGAACACTGGCAGGTAGATTGGGTACCGGGACCTGTTGGCACATAAAACACAACGGCAATCTATACATAAGGCACATGCTGTCCCCCCACATGGTCCCTCTGGGTGGAAGAGCTAGCATTTCGAGGCTTGACTATTCTTGCAAGGTTGGGAACTTACCCAGGAAGCTCCAAGGCATCTGGGTTGGGGGGTGTGAACTAAGGGTTATAGGAATAACAGCAGTCATGGCGACTGCTTTCCTGTAGATAAACAAGAAAGTACCAACCTACTGTAAACATCAGGAAGAGAATCTAAAGGTTAGTTTGAGAATGAGGGCAGATGTTGACCTACGTCAGGTTCTCTGACGGCCAGCTGTCAGGAGCAGGGACAAAGAGAGAAGGAGAGAAGAGGGAGAGTATGACAGGAAGAGACACATTAAAGCAGGAAAGGCATGGGGACAAAGGTGAGAGATGGCCAGGAAGTCAGACAGCCCACATCCAGAGCCTGCTCTTGCTGGCTTCTGGCCTGTGAGACTGGGGCACACACTGGAATTTCCCTGACCCCTAGAGATGCTCAGTGCTGGATCACCACCTGCTTTTTTACCTGAGTTCTGTGCCTTGTGGCTCCCTTCAGGAAGGAGGAGCCGCAGCAAGACACAGGAAGCTGAACAATTAGCATCCCTGAGGGTGGAGGGATCAGGGTGCCTTGGAATGAGGGGAGGGTGTCAAGTTCTGTGTTGAGTTTAGTTCTCAGTCCTCTAAGTGCCAAACAGAGAAGAATTCCCCAGAAATTCACCTGAGATAAGTCATATGACAGCCCGTCTCGCTGGTGCACCTCCAGTTCGGCCTGCTGCTGTTGGAGCTGCCTGTGAAACCAGAAGTCAGCACAGGTGTGAGGAACAGAAAGGGAGGCAAAAATCGCTGTTCCAAAGTCACGTAGCCCATGCTCAACAGATCGCTAAACGGCTTTCCACTTTTATTTTACTCCAAGTCCTGTGTTTCAGCTTTTGACTCCGACATGAACTGTTGAAAGGTAAAGCGCATGTGTGTTCTGGTGTATGCGCATGTGTGTGTGCACATGAAGACCAGATGTTGGCATCAGGAGCTTCTTCTCAATCGTTATGACAGGATCCTTCATTAAACCCAGAGCTCACCGATTGGCTAGACCGGCTTGCCAAGGAGCTGCAGCCATCCACCTGTCTCCACTCCAGCAGCTCCAGGGTTATGTTGAGCTGTTTACATGGACGCTAGGGATCCAAATGCTTTATCCACTAAGGATCTCCTCAGCCCTCAAATTTCATTTCTGACAAACAGAGTCTTGCTATGCATCCTGGAACTCTTGATCCTCCTGCCTCAGCTCTCCAGGTCTAGGAGAATAGACAGGCACCACCATGCCTGGTTTAGATAATAAGCTTCATCAAATGACTTTGTTTTCTTCAGAGTAAAAAAAAAAATACAGTGTTAAAATTGTTTTAAAGACAAAATTCAGGAAAGCAGTTGCTTTAGCGCTGAGCAAAGCTGCTGGTTGTGCTGTGCACACCTGCCGTAGGGGTGAACAACTTATTCATGCTCAGGCTGGAGTTTCATGGGGCCTACTTCACCCACGTGCTAAAATCAAGATGCTGGAGCTCAAGGCTGAGGCTAGCTCAGAGCTGTTCTGCTGCAGCAGAGCAGGGTGGATTCCGGTGTGCTTGACTGCCCACTCTGCCAGGCTCCTGCTACTCTGCCAGGCTCTTCTGTTGGGGGTGGGGGATGGTACAAAGGGTTGAGAGAGAAAACTCGTGCTTCAAGTTTCTAAGTAGGGAGACTGGATTGCTTTCAGTGAAGCGTATACTTCAGATGCTACAAAGAAGGTAGAGTGCAAGGTCCTTAGCTCTGGACAGCCCAGTGAAGAGGCCCTGTAGGAGGACCCGCTGAGCAGCTGCTCTGGAATCAAACCCAGAAGTCCTTTCAGTGAACTATGCTGAGGCAAAGAAAACAGCCATAAGAACCATAACAAGTCATGTCCTGATGACTCAGAACCCCCAGATTCCTGCTCTGAGGGAGCTAGGGCTCCAGGGAAGGACAGATGAGAAGACCGAGGTTCTAAAGGAGTAAGGGATCTGGCCTTTCACTGTGGTACAGGCGCCCAGGAACAAAGGCAAGGATGGAATCAGAAGCATGTAGTGTACCAGCAGGCAGTGTAAGCCTGTGCCTCTCATATCAGCAAAGTGCAGCATCAAGAATACTTTCCAGAACAAACGGAGTTTTCAAAAAATTTAAAAAGAGGGCTAGGATGTAGCAGAATTGGAAGAGAGCTTGCCTAGCGTGCATGAAAACTGGGTATTCAGTTCAATTCCCAGCATCACATAAAGGCAGTCATGGTGGCCCATACCTATAAACCTATAATCCCAGCACGAGGGATATGGAGGCAGAACCAGTAATTCAAGGTTATATTCAAGGCCAGCCTGGGCAACATGAAACCCTTCCTTAAATTAAAAAAAAAAAAAAAAAATCAATATAGACATTACTATAGAAGAAGCATCACTGTCCTTCCTTGTTCTTACTCCATTATCTGCTGTCTCCTGTAACCTCATGATGACTCACTGGCAGGCTGCTAGTATCTGAAGAGAAGACAGATCACCAGTCAACATTTTACATCTTTACAATATAAGACTACTAATTACTAGATAAAGGAAAGAAGCCTCAGCAAGTTTAAGGGGTGTTCCCAGCTGCAACGTGGCACAGAAGGGGTTCAGATACACAGGGTTGTGGACCTTCTAATCTCCCCTCTCCCCAGCCCAGAATAAAAACCTTCCATGTCCTGGGGGACTCCGGACACACGGCACTGATTTGATAAGGGCAGGGAGGAATGGCATGGTCCTGCATGGGTTCAGAGACCTCAGAGTAGTGCTATTTTAATAACAAAGGCCTGGCCCAAGGATAATTGTATGCCACTTGCCCCCCCCCCCCCACAAGAGAGGTGAGAAATGAATGTCCAGGAGCTAGGTTGGGCAAATACGAAAAGATGGACATGACTGGCACGCAGTCAGCCCATGACTCGTCTTTCAGGATATCAGATCCCAAACACCAAGCCCTGGCACAGCTCAGAGATGTGCACCCGGTGTGTTGCATCAGTCTGTTTTTCTGGGCTTCCATCTGTGTGGAAGGAACAGGAACAGTCAGAGGTGACAAAGAGCCTTTTCAGCAGCTTAGCAAAAATGCTAAACACCCTATGCTTGCTTAACTTCTTCAGGAAGTTGCTTTTGGATAGTCTCAGCTGAAGGCTACTGAGCAAGCAACTCCTGCTCCTGCCCCAAAGCCCAAGGCATTGGAGGAGGATCTTTCTTAATCAGCGGGCCTACTGCTGGCGAAGTTGACTACCCGGATTCAAGGAAGGGCTGGCCTGCTCACACTCATGGTCAGCACTGCCCTCTACCGTCCATGGTGAGCTTTTCAGTCTTGACACTGAACACCTGGCTTAGAAAACTGCTTGCTGTCCTGCTGCAGCTGCTGCAGGTGCCCCGGGGGCTTTTGAGACTGACTGGCCCGAGGCAGCAGGACGGCCCACTCCTGAACAAAATGTTTTTCTGTCTCATCAACACTGCCTGGCTTTCAGAAAAGGAGGTCAACCTTCTCAGCCAGGCTGGCTTGCAGAGGAGAGTGACTTTGCTCTCTGGCCCTAAGTCAGGGCTGTCTCCAGGGGTGCTCCCCAGGCCCTGGGAGACTGGTTTGTCACCTTCTTCCTATTATCCATCCATTGTCTGTGTTTGCTCCTTCCTATGTGCTCATAGTTTTGAAGCCCAAGCCTTAGGCTTCCTGGGACAGGGTTCCCCCTTAAAAACAAGAGCCATGTCCGGTCAGAGCTCACACGCCCCCTAGCTCACACCAGGGTTGCACCTAATGAACCTAACCTAAGTGTGTGTTAGGTTCATTAGGTGTGATCATAGTGATCACTGGTCATAGTGATCAGGGAATATCAGCTTCTTTAGCTGTGACCAACATGCGACAGAAGAAAGTTAACAAAGACTGGAAGAGAAAAATGATGAAAAACTTAAAAGTGCCGAAACCTCTCCCAACAAGGATCATCAGTCTGCTCTCCACATTCAAACGGAGAAAGCTGCTGAGTGCTCAGCCATAATTCAGGACTATTTGAGTAGATGGGGTGGCTCTGACATTCTATACAAGTTGCTCATCAACAAGGAGGATTTAGACTTGGCAGTGAGGCACAGATGACACCTTAAAAGCCCAGGAAAAAGCCTCAGCCCAGAGCCTCTGCTGTACACAGGCTTCTGTACACAACCACATGTTGAGAAGGAAAAAAGAGGGAAGAGGGGCAGAGAAGGAGGCGGAATCCAGAGAGGATGTGGCCTTCCCTAAGATCCAAAGGGGAAGATTCTGGAATAGTGTCCAGGATTCTGAGTAGTTGGTGTGTTTGTCTATTTTCATGACTTCTTGGCTCAGCAGCCTAAACTGGCAGATGTTGAGGCCATATTGGGAGACATAAGCCTAAGGGCAAAGATCTGGCATGCACAGGTGCTAAGCAGATCAGGGCTGGCATCGTCCTTCTTAACTCTCTTCTGTCAAGGACCTGGCACCCCAGCTTATGAGCACCTAAGAAGCCTGCTCATAGCCCTCTATACCCTGAACACATTAGCAGCCAGGGGCTCCCTAGTCCCATGCATCTGGCTCTGATCCCATTTCTCAACCATTCTTATTTCCATCAGACCTAGGACCAGATATAGGTGTGACAATCATGGCTGTCTCTCTGGTCCCTGGGTAAAGAGCACCCCTCTTCCACATTGTGGCACTGATGAGGAGAAATTCAACACCCTCAATATGACTGAAACCTCAAGACAGAAAAAAGATGAGATAGAATCATCTTTTGCCCATCTGGATCTATGGCTTCTCAGATTTGTTCTGTACTGTTTACAGGTTTGACCAACAGATGGGGTAGAAAAAGAATCCAGTTGTTGTACGAAGTACACAAAAAGAGAAGATGTTCAGAATGAGAGCTGGTCCAGGAGACAGTGGAGGGAGGAGTACCTGGGAGCAAGATGACGTGCTGGCAGCTGTTGGGCTACTGTAAGCGCCAAGCGGCAAGGGACTGGGACAAGCTAAATGGCAGTGGTGGTTCAGCAAGGCCAGGTGGGAAGGAATGCTCTGATGGGGCGGTCTGGCAGGTCGTTAGAAGGATCCCCTTGTGTCAGGAGATGGGGACAAGAAGAACGTGGGCTCAGGGCCAGCCCTGACTGAGTCAGGGAAGTGGAGACTGAGAGTTCCAGTGGCCATGAGTGGCAGGCACCAAGGCAGTCTTCAGTATGCCTGTGTCACTCCGCGTCCTTTGCCATCCTAGGCGTAGCTTCCATGTGCTTTAACTCACTGGGGCACCTCTGTGCCACATGTTTGCAGGTGTTGGTTCCTTCGTGAGTACTCGTGTCCCTTAGCTCACACCAGGGTTGCACCTAATGAACCTAACATAACTGTGTGGTACTGTTAATCAAAGGCACCTCTTTCCCTAACCTACAGCATCACGCTTAGTCACACACATAGAGTGATGGCTGTTTCCCCTCGTGGATGTGTGGCTGGGTGGAGCTGTCTCTTGTTGCCACAGCTTAACATCCCATGATCTTCCTCTAGTACACTGCTAACCCAGGGAAGGAACAGATTCAAGATCCAAAGTATGGGTTCCCTTGAATGCACATCACCTTCACAGTACAGTAAACTCAAATTACAGCAGATGCAGAAGCAAGTAGACCTCTGTGACTTCCAAGTCAACCTTGTCTACACAGCGTGTTCTAGTTTAGCCAACGCTGCAAAGTGGGTCACTGTCTTTAAAAAAAAAAAAAAAAGAAAAAAGAAAAGAAAAGAAAAGAAAGCCTCACAAATAGCGTAATGGAAGCATCTGAAATCAGACTTCATCTGTATTTCCTCCATGTCTAATCTGAAGAGACATGGCTTGCCCACAGCCATGCTCCTGTTGGCAGGCACTGTGCCCACAAGTCTGTCCCACAGATCTAAGCTTAACTCCTGATAGGAGGGGCCATGGGTTGAGGAGATGACACAGTCAGTGAAGCATGCCAAGCTGTGTCTGATCCCTAGCACTCATGTAAATAACTCAGGCTCAGCAATGCGCATGTGATCCCTGGGAAGCAGAGTCAGAGCCTAGCCAAACCTGTGAGCGCTGAGTTCAGTGAAAGACTTCATTTCAAAAAGTAAGGAGGGGCAACCGAGGAGAACTTCAGATGCCACGCTCTAGCTTCCACATGCATGCATACGCCCAAAGGAGGGGCACGTCGAGGAAAGGAAGGGAAGGGTAGGAGAGGAAGTGACTTCCTTGAGGTCACAAAGCCAGGCGCCGGCAGGGCCAAGACATGAACTCAGGTCTACCCGCCAACTCCATGGATATGGAATGTATACATACTGTGAGTGGGGAGGGCGGCCTCCAGGCTTAGGTGGTGCTGCTACAGCAGGCTGCCTGCCGTTGGCCAGGGCTTCAAGAAGCCCTGTCCCCTTCTTCTCTCCGGTAGCTTCAGCAGGACCAGACCTGGCACAGCAGCTACCAAAATAGGCTGTGGAGGTGGGCACTGACAGAGCTCTCCTCTGGTTGACTTGGTGTCAGGAGGCAAAGAATGAAATGGAGACTGTGGTACCCTAACCTGAACATGGAAGGCATACACCCTATACACCCCACAGTAGCAGGAACCCAGAGCCTCCCCTTTTCTTGCTCCTTCACCTTGTAGGGGTTTTGGGCTGCAGCTAGAGCCTGTAGGGAAAAGGGAGCCTCGAGCAAAGCAGTTCAGATGAGACCATTATGTGAATGATGAGCAGAAGCGGGGTCGTGTACGTACTTGACATTGGTGTTAGTGCAGATGACGTACTCGATCTCATCGGAGTAGGGGTTCTGGAAGGTGAAGCTGCTGGTGCGGATCAACAGCCACTCTCGGTTCTTGGTGCGGAACCGATACATGACCGACAGCACTTGGCCCTTCAGCTTAACCACCTGAAAAAACATTTGGACAAGGAAGTCAGCAGGAGGAGGAAGAGGGAACAGCAAGGCAGTGTGGCCTGCTGCTGAAAAGGCCAGCAGGACCGCAGAATGGGGTGCTGCTGCCAACGGCAGTAAGGGGGGCTTTGAGAGTAAGAGTGACAGGTAGCAGCTAGTTCATGCTTCCATCTGTTTCCCTTTGAAACAGGGAGGGCCCTGCCCTTGGGTCACTTTGTCATCCCTGTGAGAGACCAATAGCAGTCATGTTTCTAACTTAGCGGCTACAAATCAGATGGTGAGCACACTGTCAGCACAGTGCTTGGAACAGAGTAGCACCAACACAGAATTATTTTGTTGTTGTTGTTATTAGCCTTGGAGTAACTGTCTCACTGATGTGTGCAGCTACAATGGATCAGACTTATTTCTTAGATGGACTTAATTCACATAAAATTTTTAACCTGTTTGACACTGTAAAATGGATTCAATAAACTCTCAGGAAGGAGGTGAAATAAACGGCAAATCTGTATGCATTATTTATTTGTAATTTATTGATCTACCACTACTTTCATGTTGCAGTATGGTTCCTAGAGTGCTTCCACAGACACCTGTGGTATAGCCCAGCAAGGGTCTGGCAAAGTGGCTTCACTATTTACAGATGATGTTACCAGGGTGCAGAGAAAGTAATTAAATTCTTCAGGACCAGGCAGCTCTTAGTGTCAAAGAGGGACAGGAACTGTGACCTTATATCCAAGTTACAAGCCTGTCTCCCTGAGGAGAGTTTGCTTTTTTCTTTGTTCACTCTGTTTACAATATAAAGGTATGCAAAGACACATACCCCCCCCCCACACACACACAGCTGGAAGCATCCAGTTGTTTGTCTCACCAAAGACAAAGAAGTGGGAGATGAAAAAGCTACTAAGAATTAGTGACAGACCTCACCAGGATGTGACTGTCTCCAAAGACAAGATAAGGTAATCAGAAGTCTTCTTTGTAAGCCTACAACCTCTGATCCTGGGAATGTAAATCTTCAGTCTTCCTGGGTGTGACTGCAGATTGACTGTTGACAAGAGCAGGGCCTGATTCTAGAGCCAGGTAAGCTCTGACTCTTAATATCATTGCATTTGCAGCCTGCTTTGCATTAGGAGTTTGCAGTCTCAACCATACTGTAACACAGCCTGGGAACATGGTGAGCTAAGCCTCACACAGCCCAGCCCAGTGTCTGGCACAGAGAAGCACCTACAGCACACCTCACAAGCTGGTTACATAGCCTTAATCATCCAAGATTGAGGCAGAGGCAGCTAGGTGACTTCTCCCACATTTCCTGGGGAAACCAGGCACTGCACACTGCAGAGTATCAGATAAGACCCTCTTGGGGGAATACATGATGAAAGAAAGAAAGAGAGAGAGAGAAAGAGAGAGAAAAAGAAAGGAAGAAAGGAAGGAAGGAAGGAAAAAGAAAGAAAGAGAGAAAGAAAAGAAGGAAGAAAGAAAGAAGAAAGAAGCAAAGAAAGAAAGAAGGAAAGAAAGGAAGGAAGGAAGAAAGAAAGGAAGGAAGGAAGAAAGAAAGGAAGGAAGGAAAGGAAAAAAGAAAGAAAGAAAGAGAGAGAGAAAGAAAGAAAGAAAGAAAGAAAGAAAGAAAGAAAGAAAGAAAGAAAGCGATAGAAAGACAAAAAGATAGAAAGCTGGAAGAGGGCAGAGGTTAGAAGGAGGCTGATTAGTGGTGGAGTGAAGCTGGCCTACTCAGAATGCTGCCCCATGGAGAGTTGGACCCTATCTTAGTCACTGTTCTACTGCTGTGGACAGACACCATGGGGCTTGGTAAAGGACATATAAGAGACATGCTTATAGTTTCAGAAGCTTAGTCCATTATCATCAAGGCAGAGAGCATGGTAGCAGGCAGGCATGGTGGTAGAGAAAGGGTAGACAGAGAGAGAGGGAGAAGAAAAGGGAGAGAGAGGAGAGGGTGAGGGAAGGAGGGATAAAGAAAGGGAGAGAGGGGACACACACACACACACAGAGTGAGTGTGTGTTTGGGCCTTTGAAACCTCAAAGCCCACCCCCAATGATACACTTTCTCCAACAAGACCACATCTATTCCAACAAAGCCACACCTCCTAATCCTCCTCAAATAGTACCACTCCCTGATGACTAAGCATTCAAATGTATGGGCCTATGGGGATTATTCTTATTCAAACAACCATAGTTCCCTAACTGGGAGCTGTCTTTTCTCTCACAGGGAACAGAAGTCAAAGTCAAAGCCACATTCTCTCAGGTTAGCAGGTTGAGTTGCTCCCTTAGTTCCTACAGCATATATAGACACATTCATGTCCTCTGTCCTGAGTGTGTGTGCCTTCTGTTTCTTCCAACAGAAAGAACTGATAGGGTGTGAGAGTTTCACAGATGAGCAGCAGGTGCTACCTGTGTACAAAGGTGGACTTATGGGGCTGAGAGTAGAGAACAGAGGAAGGGGGATGTCAGTCCTCCCCCTTCAGCCCATGAGTCATCACAGCAGTATAATGTGTATTAGGAACATGAACTTCAGAGCTGAGAGACACCTACCAAGGAAAAATGCATGTTCTGAATCCTTGATTTACCAACCTTTATACCCTGTCTAAAGTCCCCATTGCCAAGGTGAAGGTTCTGTTCCCAAGTACCTGTCACCTGCAGGGGCTAGAAAGATATGTAGATAACCATAATCCACAAAATCTGCAACAAACCCATAATCAAATGTCAGGGGCCCACCAGGAGGGCCAGAAGTTGGGACCTACTGTTAAGGTCCTGACATGAATGAAGGATTGCAGAAAGGGAATGAAGTTTGGGAAAGAGTTGGAAGGTAGGCATGATGCTGGCAAATGAGATTGTTAGCTCTCCTTGCATAAACCACAGCATAACAATGGTGTATAGGCAAGAAAGCAGAGAAGTGATGGAGGATCAATTCTCATTGTGCTGGTAAGCAGGGCTGGTAGTATGATCCAGGTGTAAGTCCAGAGTGATGCACCTACTGCGCTTCACTCAAATGTGGGGCTAGTAACGCAGGAGGCTGCAAAGACCATAAAACCTAGCTTATCTTGGCTCTTCATGAAAACAGCTGCCATAGGCGTCATCACCATTGTTCCCATCACCACCATTCCAGTCATTACCATCACCTGAATCATCCCCATCATCACTGTCTTAACATTCTATCACTGTGAAGAGACATTCTGATCATGGCTACTCTTATAGAGGAAAACTCAATTGGGGCCGTCTTACAGTTCAGAGGTTCAGTTCATTTTCGTCATGGCGTGGAGCAAGGGGGCATGCAGGCAGATTTGGTGCTGTAGAGTATCTGAGAGTTCTATCTTCAATTGGCAGGCAGCAGGCATAGAGAAAGACCCTGAGCCTGGCCTGAGCATTTGAAATCTCAAAGCCCATCCCCAGTAACATACTTCCTCCAAGAAGGCCATACCCACTCCAACAAGGCCACACCGCCTAATCCCTGTTAAATAGCATTACTCCCTAACGACCAAACATTCAATTATATGAGCCCATGGGGCCATTATTCAAAATACCACAACTACTGTCACCATTATCACCCTCACCACTAACACAGCTACTACCATCACAATCATTGTCATCATCTTCATCACCACACTAATTACTATCACCACTCACCACACCATCATTGTTATCACCATCATGGCATCACAATCATTGCTATTCTTATCACCATTAGCACCAAAATCATTACCATCACCATTACCGCCACCATCAACACTTTCACAGTCACTACTATCTCCATTATCACCACAATTATTACCATCACCACCATCTTCACTATCAGTACCATTATCAGCATCATGAGGACTCATAATTCTCAGTCAAAGCTGTTACTATCATGACCATCAATATCATCATAATCATTACCATTATTATTGCTATGACCATCACTATCAACATTATTAATGGCCACCAACCATCATTATCACCATCACCTGCCACCCATCCTGGCCTGGGTCATAACAGCAAGACTAGAGAGGCTCTATCCACCTCTCACCTGTGCTCCCTCCCACATTTGACTATGTAAGCTACATATGCCACAAGATCCTGGCAGGTTTGAAAAGAAAAAGGAATTGGGCATCTCCTCTCACTCTAGTAGCCAGCTTTAGTAACTTATACTGAGACCAGCTACCTCATCCCTAGTGAAAGGGAAACCAAGGCTGTGGCATCAAAGGGGGAAGCCCTGGCTCGGGCCCAGGACACACGGGCAGCAACTGTACAGCCACAGAGACATCCCAAGGCACACCCAGCCTTGGCCTGAGTTTGTGTTCTTTGGGCACCGGCCACCAGCAACGAAGGGGGACTAATGTTGATAAAGGGAAGTGGTTTGTTCTTGAGAAAGCTGAGTCAGCCCTTGAGCTCTTGTTTTAAACAAAAGCACTGAGCTGCGCAGACAGGAAGCCCACAGAACACACACACATTCTGAGTTTGGTGTGCTGTCGGTGTACCTTCCCAGGGGCCAGGAAAGTATCCATTCCCAGAACCCATTTCTCAGTCAGTTTGCCAAGAGGTCAAATGACAGAGAGAAACTTCTGGTAGGTTCCTACTCCACACCCATCCTTTCTGTTTAGACAGGCTCCATCATGATGGCAGTGATGGTGGATGACACTCAAAACTTTCTTAGTCCCGTTGTCTACTAGGAAAAACATGGTGACAATATTCATGGGGTAAGGCTGGGGATTCCATGGGAAACCACAAGAAGAAGGTTCTGGATAGTTACTGGAAACAGGATGACAGGCCTATTACCATGAGAGATTCACATTCATACCTTCTGAAAGACGAGACCAACAGTTCTACATGGGGTTATCCTCACTTCCATACGCTTAGCAAATGTGGCACAAAGCATCCTGGTAAAATTTTACCATTCTGATTTCACAATTTCTGTAAAATGGAAGCCACCTGCTGTGAGTTCGGATCTACATAGGCAGCTTGGTTCAGATCTACCCTTACAGAGATGATGTGCACAAGTACAGACATGGGTGTCTGCCCACAGTAAAGCCAGGTTTTAGCAGAGACCCAAAAAGGGGAGGCGGACAAAGGAAATGACATGTGGTAAAGGAGAAAGCAGGGAGACATCATTCTCATGAAGGTTCCAGGAGGGCCTGTCATGGGCTCTGGTCTAAGGCTAAACTTTGTCCTGAGCCACTGAGAGACGAGGCAGTGTACTGGGTCTGGAGGTGCCTGGGCACTCAGATGGAGTGGTGCAGAGCTGCCTGGAAGAAGGCAGGCATGAAGTTAGAAGGCAAGTGGGCTCTTGCCATTTGGTGCTTGAGGTTATGAAGAATAAATGGCTGACGTCATGTCCTCCCATCATTGCGGCAGAAGAATGTGAAGAAGCCAACCAAATAGGGGCTAAGAAGTGGAAGAGAAACAAGTAGTGGGAAAGAAACTGGAAAGCAGAACTGAGTACAAGGAGGAAGGGGACCTCAGAGTGTTGCCCATGTAGGTATGAAGCCAGAGGGCAAGCTCTCTGCAGATGGGGAAGCCTTCCACTGGCTGGGCCTGAGATACTTGCAAAGCAATTGCTAAATTAAGCTCACACTCCAGTGGATGACACCAGATTTCTCTCTTGAAAGGTTACCCACAGGTCTCTTTTCTTATGTTCATTTTCTCCTTTTCCTGGAGTATTATCAGAGTCTAGTGGAATGAGTTCTCTCCTCTTCCCAGGCTAGCTCAGGAGCTGACAGGCCTCATTCTCAGTTAGCTGTAACTCATCAGAGTGTGATACTCTGGTCCTTGGCTTCAGTTAGCTACTCCTGTCCCCTCCTCCAACTCTAGGAACCATCAGGCCTTCCTCCTGTGACCTGTGCTATGGGTGCCTGTCACAGAGTGTGCGCTTATTAAGTGGAAATGATCTATAGAGTGCCACTATTATGGTGGCCATTCTGCCAGGCTGCCTCTTCCTCACTATCCCTGTCTGAATGATTCTCTCTTTAAGTTGCTTCCCAGTTCTAATTCCCACAGGTCCTGCACAGCTCTGGGACCCATCACTCATTTTGTATTTTTGATTGTGAGCCTAGCCTTTAATGGCTGAGTCATCTCTCCAGTCCTCCATCACTCATTTTAAAGGTCTTCTGACTTATCTTTGTTTTCACTTATTTGCGTACCTGGGCTTCCCAAGTTGCTCATAAAGCACTGTTCTGCTTATGTACTCAAAGGAATTGCTACTTACCTTATGTGACCAGGGAAAGAACTGAGGCCCTGTAGCATGACCCAGGAGGCCTCAGATCCGGCCTGGCCGGTCCCATTGCCAGCTGCTTCCTCCTTGTCAGCCCTAGGAGCTGCTGAGGATCCTCCTAGCAGGCCACATTTGGCATGTGTGGCACAGTCCCTCCCTCTGGTATGTTCTCTCATTTCTTTTGTATTCTCCCTTTACAACTCATGTCAGCTGATCCCTCCCCTGGGAGCTAACTCTTCTCCCAAGTCACCCTCTGTAGCATTCGTGCTTGGGGAGACTCTTCAGAGCCTGATCTCCACTCCTGCCACACAGCAGTGACTTCCTCATGTATCTTACCCTCATGCTTGAAATCCTGCCCAGAATGGCTGGCTGACATCATAGCAGGGCACCCCCAGCTTGGTGGCTTACAGTAGGCCTTCATCAATCTAGCCACCCCCTAGGCACCTCACTCAGCAGCAGCAGGAGCAGCAGCCATGGACAATACCTGCTGGAAGCTCTCCCGTAGGTGGCTCTGATCCTCAGGGTGGCAGAATTCCAAAATATCCTTTCCCAGAAGGTCCTAAAGGACACAGACAGCTGAAATAACCCCAAAGTCCACTCGCTCTTTTACCCCTACCCTGGAGACAAAGGTGTTGTTTGCATCCCCTCCCTGTGAGCCCACTTCCTCTTGCCTGCCCACTAGAGTCTTAAACATAAAATGGTCTTCCTCCTCCTGTCTGCTGAGGAGTCGGCTTCCTTGCATCCATTCTAAATTCCCCTGGCTTAGTCCTCACTTATTTCTAATTTTGCTTGGGCGCTAGATCAGCAGCTTTACAACACAACTTTATTTCTGTTTGCCTTGGAGAGGCAAACTGCAATCAACATATTTTTAAAAACACCCAAAGAAAGCTCAAGGACAGACACGCTGCCTACGAAAACTAAAACTGTTTAAGTATGAAAACCAGTGGCTGAATGAAGCTGTAATAACTGTACTTGCCTCAAGCCTGTTCATTATTGACCTTCAGTAGTCTACGTGTTATTTGAAAAGATCCAGCGTTCATCTAAAACGTGCGTGCTTCGCAGTGAATAGGAGTAGACTACAGAAACCATCAAAGGGCAGTTTTGAGCATGCTCCAGGGAAGTGTCTTAAACAGCAAAATGTAAGCTATCTCAGCAATGAGAACCTGCATTAGTACATGATGCTTGAAGTGAGCTGACTCAGCAGCAAAGGCAGATCCTATGCCCAAGGAACGCCCCAGATACTCAGGGGAGTTGCTGCAGGATGCAGGGTCTGTCCAGAAATCCACCGCTCTCAGGGGTAGTCTATTCTCACCTTATTCTATCTGAAAGGGTACCGTTTGCTTGAATCTAGCTTCAGAATTACAGAAAGCTCTGATAGTTCTTCTTTGGACTGCTCCTAGTAGTAGTAAAATCTACACACAGCGCTGATTCCAGCACAGATAAAAAGTTAAGTAAATAAAATAAAGATATACATGCAATTAAAATAATTCATGTTAACATATTCCAAAGCTTCCCAAAGATTTTTCCTTAGGACAAAGAGCCTCATTTTTCTTTTTTTTAAAATGATTTTTATAAAAAACAACAACAAAAAACCCTCTATAGACAAGGTATATCTCAAAGCTTCCAAAGTCTGTTCCTTAGAACAAAGAGCCTTATCTTTTTTCCTTTAATGTTTTTTTAATTTTAAAAACTTTATAGACAAGGTATATATATGACAAACCCCTGTATAGCATTGATTCAATTGTTAATATGTTACTAACATTTTCTTTATAAATGTCCACACACAAATGGAGACAGGAGACTCTGTGTGTGTTCGTGTGCATGTGTGTGTATGATCTCTTGACAATAAGTTGTAGATCCTGTAACACTTCTCCATAAAGTCTTTTAGCATTAATATATTAAGTGTCTCATCATACTACAAAACCAAAACATGATCAGGAAATCAGTACTCATTTGCTAACATCTCCATACTCCCCACACTGTCCCCTAAGTGTCTCCTCTGGGTGGAAGTCCTGGGGCTTAGGGCAGGGCTCATGGTTTTGTACTACACATGGTTGTGGTTCCTTGGCTTCATCTGGGTAGCTCATGACTTTGTTTCTCATGCCACTGATTTCTCAGAAATGATCTGGAGCAAAGACCTGAAAACATGCCCCAAGCAAAAAAAGATTTCCCCAAAGACAAGGTAACATCCCTCAGGTATCTTGACAGATGTCCAGCACAGACAAGCTCTGCAGTTAAAATAAACTGATCTTAACTCCCCATCCTTTATGAAAGCTCAACTAGAACAACAGAAAGGCTAGGACAAAAGACAATGAGTGCACTTAAAGTGGTGTTGTCTTACAACAAACAGTTTGGCTTATGAAGAGTGTCAGCCTTGCTGAACAGGGAAATCTGGCCTCATGTCACTTCTCCATGATGTCATTGTGCTGAGCCTTGAACAAGTAAGATAAATACATTTTGAGTGAAGTTAAATCTTTTGCCAGTTCTCCACTGACCTGGGGCTGGTAGCCAATCACACTGATGCATCTTGGGTCCACAAAGGTGATGATCCCATCAGAGTTATGACGTGACAGGAACTCTGTGGGCACTGACATGCCACTCATGTCCATGCACACAGGAGAGCTAGTCACCTGGAATGGAGGGTTGATAAAAATGCAGATGAGGATATGACAAGAACCCACAGAGCTTGCAGTTCACACATCCTTCTGTGTCACCAGAAGGATGAGTGTGAGGGTTTAAATTAAAGCTTGGCCACTTTCTTCACATTTCTGAGTATTTGCCTCCTTATTAGTCAGTGGGAATAATGAATAATTACAACAAGTTATAATGCCAGTGGACACTTGTGATGACAAAAGAGATACTGCCCACTTTGCTGCTAAATGGTTGATGCTCAGGAAATGCTCTTACCTTCTCCTTCTCTCATCTTCCCCTCTACATGTAATTGGTGTAGAGACTTGAATTCTCTTAACACTGAGCCATCTCTCCCGCTTCAAGTAAATTAAATTTTAACAAGACAGGGTCCCTGCCCCAGAGGACCTAGTCAGGTGCAAACATACCCTCAGCTAACAGTGTGAGAATGAAGTTGAGCTGAGAACTCCGTTATGAGAGAACACAGTGGGAAGCTACAGTGTTAACTATGGGGATTTAGTTAGGTCTCAAGGGGTAAGAAGGTAGGAAGTACACAGAAGGAATTTTGAAAGCATGAGGACAACTAAAAAACACAAGGTAGAAGAAACAGCTTGAAAATCCCCACAGAAGTAGGAACCATGTGGCGGCTTCAGGACAAGGGAAAATGTGGTTTGGTAGGAGGATGTGGTAAGGTGGGAAGAAGGGAAGGAAAGGGGGATAGAATGATGAGTTTGGACTTTGCCTCACAAGGCCCTTGGGAGACTTTAAAGGTGGTTAGTAAGGATGAGACTTTTGGAGGAATTGGTGTAGGTGGGAGAGAGCTCTGTGAACCCTCAGCACAGAAAGGTCTCTGTGCTGTATCCCTCATGGTAACCTCCCCCCCTTTTTTCTTCAGAGTGAGACACATAAGCCAGCAAATATTGAGTACACAGGAATTCCAAACGAAGAGGCATCCAAACCCAGTCTCTTGTTCTGTGTCGTATCAAGCCCTCATTGAAGATGAAGAAGACAGGCTTTTTGCTTACCTGGAGCCGCCCGATTGCCACAAGGCAATATTTACTGCCTTGTCCTACATCAGCGTCTTCTTCAGGTATGGTCATTCCTAAAATGAGACATGCTAGCATCATCAACATGCCCAAAGTGACTGCTAAGTAGGGAAAGAATGCATCATTTCATTCATGCAACTGAAAATACAGCTCCATTGCTGCCACTCAGAGCTGGGAAGCTAGCCAGAGACTCAGCAGCCCCACACTGTTTCCTGTTCCCCTTTGCCTGACAGCGTCTGATGATTTCATGATACATCACCATCTGCATCTGTGAATGACACAGAGGCAATGAAGGGAGCTAAGATGCAAGTCATTCATCTCTGCAGTTTCACTGAAACAGGGGTGAAACACCAATAAGAAGCCTCGACAGGTCTTGTTGATGATGCAAACAACTTTTCTGTTGACAAGGAATCAAATACCACCATCAGAGGTGGTGCACAACTTGTTGATTGTTTTCTGTTATCTTTTGCTTGTTTGCTTGTTGAAGGCAAGGTCTCCCTATGCAGCCCTGTCTGTCCTGGAACTTGCTATGTCTATCAGGCTGGCCTCAAGTTTACTGAGCTCTTGCTGTCAGCTTCCAAGTGTTGAAACTAAAGTCATGCACCGCCATGTCTTAACTGGTGCACACTTCTCATCACAGCAAAGATGAGCAACCAACTGGGGCTTGCTAGCCAACTAGCCAGCTTAGATTATTTGGTGAGTCCCAGGCCACTGAGAACAAACAAACAGACAGACAGACAGACAGACAGACAGACAGACAAGAACAAGAACAAACAAACAGACATCCAGACAACAACACCTGAAATGGCCCTCTGGCTTCCACATACATGTACTTACATACATGTACACAAACATGGGCCCGTATATACAGAAACATACATGTGTACAGACACTCGTGTTCCACTCTTAGAAACCCTCCAGATTTGCTCACTGAGCTAGCTCTTCCCCAGTTTCTTTTCAGGACTACATAGCGCTTAGTTGTATAGATGCACCATGTGTAGCAAACCATTCCTCAGGTGTGAATGGGGAGGTGTGCAGTTAGAAGCAACGGGCATTCTAGCACGAATGTATTTTTTATCACTGGAGTTGTACCTGTTGCATGGCAGTTCTCCAGAAGTGGGATTACTGGGTCAAATATAGATATACTTCTGCTTTGTTAAATTCCCTCCATAAGGGTTGTACCAGTTTGCATTCCAGTCACTGATGTCTTAAAGTCTGTTTCTCTATGTTCTTGGCAAACAGAATGTGCTGTCAGTTTTTGTCAGTTTGACAGGTGAGAATAGATGTCTTAATTTGCATTTCAGTAATTATAGTTATGTTTGAACACCACTTTTTATGTTTAGAACTGCTTTTACATTTTGAGTTTTACTGAATTGTCTGTTCATGTTCTTTCCCACTGTTTTGCTGGGATTCTGATGACCTCATCTCCCAGTGTTGGCCTTGAACTTGGGATACATTGGAGGATGACCTTGAACTTCTTGTCTCTACTTCCGAGGAGATAGGATGATAGCTATGCACTATCATGCCAGGTCTCACTATTAAAGGGTTGTCTGCAGGGGACATTGTAAACATGCTCTCCCACAAGGTCCTGTGTCTTCTAACTCTGCTTACAGCAATAAGCCTGAGCTGCAGTTGAAAGCCATTTCTTATGTGGAGATTAAAAAAGACTCCTCTTTGTTTTCCTGTGGCGCTTTCCTGGCCCCAACTTTTATATTTGGCTGTCTCGGGCACTCAATTACTCTTGTGTAAGGTATGAGATACATGTTTGTCTTCAACTATGTGACTCTTCAGTTATCCCATTGATATCTGTTTAAAGTACAGAGGTCTGAGAATCTACTTTCATCTTGGAATAAATCCCCATTGGGTCTAATTATGGACCTCCCCTTTTATTCTATTAGTCACTAAACTATCCCAGCCCCAGTGCCACACTACTTGAATCCCAGAGACACTACTGTGTGTTCTAATATCTGCTGGGGCTTCCCCTGTAGGGTTTTTTGTTTTGTTTTTACGGGGATGGGGGGGGGGAGAAGCTACTCGTAATTGTGTTCTTCCACATAAAACTTAGTATCAACTTACCTAACTTCATAAAATGGTTTGATGGTATTATTAGTAGGTTTGATTAAATTTATAATTTACCTTCAGGAGAACTGATGTCTTTGCAATGTTGAGTCACCTTGCCTAAGCAGAGGGGAAGGTTTGAATCATGCATTTCATCCTCTTGTTAAAATTATTCTCTCATTCATGGTGGGATGTCATCAGGTGTTGTCACTGTGCTCATCTTGTTTGGGCGACCATATTGTTAACATTTCATGGGTGTGAAAGAAATACAAAGCAGTCTCTACTTGACGGGATTATCACTGCACTCTCTCCCACTTTCTGAGAAGACTCAAACTTTGGAACGTGCTTACCACTACCCTGTTTGGATATTGTGTAACTGTAGAAAATTATTAATTCCAAGATGCTCCCAGCAGAGGAGATGGGAGTGAGGATGAGTGTTGTATCATCCATGGCTAGGACAGGCATTTCTGAGCTCTACCCTTACCTTGTGTGGGCTTCATAAATAAGTATTCATTGGGAAAAAAGGATTTCATGAGTGCAATTCCCTGTTACAGAAGACACTATCGCACAACAGACATCCTGATTCTTACAATCTTTCCACTCCCTTTTCTGCAACGTTCCAATAGGTATTGGAGTTTGTTGTAAATGTAGCAATTGGAAATGAGCACCCCACAGTCAATTGTTTTCTGCATTTTGACCACTTGTGGATGTCTGTGATTATCTCTGTCTGCTGCAAAAACAAGACAAACAAAAAACCCTTCCTTGATGAGGGGTGGGAGATACATTTATCTGCAGATATAAAGATAGATATTTAGAATTAAGTTGAGAATTATACTGGTTTAGGAACATGGCAGTAGTGGGTTCTCCTCTAGGGTCCATGGCCTTATCAGTCATAGGCAGTTGACTAGGTTTACAGTACCAGGCTATTGAAGAAAATAAAAGCCCTCCTACTGAGTGGGCCTTATGTCCAATTACGTGGCTGTTGGTTACTCTCAAAACATAAGTGCCACAATTGCACCCTTGGTTATATCTTCTTATTATTATAGGTTGTGGGACTTTGAATTACTCTTCAGAGGAGGCTTTGGATCAGTTCCAGCTTGGTTCCTCCAAGCTCTGTGTCTTATGCAATAGGATCTTATCTTCATGTCCTGGGAGGCAAACAAGGGCAATAGCCTATATTATTTTGGGATTCTCCTGAATTTCCTTGACCAAGAACTCAAAGGATTTCCATGTTTGGCACTGTTTTGTTTTTGTTTGGTTTGGTGTGTGTGTGTGTGTGTGTGTGTGTGTGTGTGTGTGTGTGAAAGAGAGAGTTTTAGTCTATGTCTCCTGAAGCATTATTACCCACCATGTTCTGAGTTCTGTGCCAGTGGTGTGTGTGTGTTAATGATACAGTAATGCCCCTTTGGAGAACCCAAAAGAAGATGGACAAATAGATGTAAAAACTGTTACAAGGCCAAGTGCAAATTGAGCAGGTCAAGGCAAACCCAGTGGCTGAGAAAAAGGTAGTTGCTGACAGAATAGGGCAGAGCTTCTTGGGTTCATCAGAATCGAGCTCCATACATGTGGAGATCACCAGAGACTGGAGAAAGGGCTCCTGGAGCACACAGCCTGGTTGGGGAAGATGGACACTACAATACAGTGAGGGGTCTGGTGTAGATACACTTCGTCTTCTAAGCCAGCAGCTGAAGCTTCTGTGCGCCCCTGTAGATGGGAGGCCTCCGCTGAGACTCAGCCTGTATCCACTGGGAATGGCAACCCAGCCGTCTCAGCTAAGGAGAGCACGTCTCTGTACAGCAGACATCCCATGTGCCTTCACTGGAGCCTAGACCTTCAGAGTCTTATGCCAACTGACACTGCTTTGCCTCTCTTTTATACACATTGTACTGATGGGCTTTGTGGTTTACCTTGATAGACCATGCAAGATGAAATGATACTTTATGACTGGATAAGGTCACCAGAAAAAGTAATACATGCAAAGAGAAATGATAGATCAGCCGCCAGAGAATTCTTATGAAGAAAAAAAGAGAGCTGAAAACCAAACCAAAACAAAAAAAACAATCAACAGCTTAGCACTCCCCTCCCCCCCCCACCCCGGTTGTTAAAACTCTTTATCCTTGGAGAAGCCCAGGGGGTGACATCTAAACTGCAAGCTCTGTGTGTCTAAAGAAGAAAGGCATAGGTGCAGTTTTACACTTAAGCAGACAAAATATTCTGTGGGCTGGAATACAGCGTAAGCGAGAGTCGAGGGCAAAGTCAGGTTAGAAAGCAATGTTAGCAACACACATAGTGGTCAGGGCACAATTGTAGCAAGGTCTCCTAGAAGAAAACAGGAAAGGCACAAATCATCCAGAGAAAAAAGAGTACACACTATGAACAAGCAACTCGGAGGCAAACACCCACATATTTGTGTGTCCAAAAAGGACAGGGAATTTCACTACAAAAGAACATTTTATTGAAAACATCACATCTCTTCCAAGTTTATGCCAAATATCAGACTGGCACTGCTTATAAAATGATGGAAATTTCTAGAGCTATTAGGAGGTGGGGAAAGGGCACTTTACTCTCCCCTGCAGGATACTTTGGTGGTAGCTTGGCCAATTTAAATTATCATCTGACTAACCTTCAGAAACACCAGCACTCACAGAGAGTCCCCTGCAATGTGTAGACCTTAGCAGCTCCCCCACCCCACTCCACCCCCCGGCCCAAACTGGAGATGAGCATCATGCTCCCATCTGGAGAATGAATGACTCATGAAACATCATGCAGTCATGTAGAAGAAGGAAGCCACAGAAACTGCAGCTTTTAAAAAGAGAAAAACACTAGGAAGATATGCACTTGGCATTCAGGGAAAGGAACAGGTTTAGTTTAAACTTTTAAACAAATTTACAATGGGCTTATGAGTGAATTTTACTTTTATCTTATACATTTCTCCTGTATCTTCCAAATTTTATTAATGAACATGTTTCGTGTTTCCGTAATTTTTTAAAAAGACACA